GGTGAAGACTGAGGTGGAGGAGACGGCGGCGCCAGGCGCGGGGGGCGGTCCGCCCCAGCGCCAGCCGCGCTCGAGGAGCCGCCGTAGGCGCAAAGAGGAGCAGCGCCAGGGCGCCCAGCAGCAGCCCAGTGACCAGCACGACGAGGGCGAGTCCATTATCCGCATCGAGCGGGTACCGCACCACGTCGACGCCGAGGTGGTCAGGCAGGTGGTCGTGCCCTTTGGGGTCGTCAAACACATCGCCTTCCTGTACGACCACCGCCACAAGCGGGGGCCGTGTGTGCTCGTGGAGTTCCAGCGCCGCGCTGATGCAAAGCGCGCGCGGGAGTGCATGAGGTCGAACTATCGGTTCTACAAGACGGACCCGTGCACAGTGGTCACGGAGTGGGCGAGTCGACCTCGCGGCCCTGACCCAGGCAGCGACGGGGAGGATGGCCCGACCATCCAGCCGCCTGCCTGCCCGACGTGCGCTCTCAAGATGCGCTGGAGCTCCTTTGACCCGGGAGACGGTTGGGGTTGCGAAATGTGCCCCGCGGGCGGAGCTAACAGCGGAGCCCTGCGGTGGCACTGTAAGGGGTGCGACGTGAGCTACTGCGAGGCTTGCCGCGTCGCCTTCGGCAAACCCAAGACGGTGGTGGAGAAGGCCCGGCGGAGCGGCCACGCCGTGCGGGAGGCGCCGGGCCCCAGTGCCGGCCACGGAGAGCGCCCCAGCACGGGTGCCACGGGTGCGGGGGCTGAGGGGGGCCGCCCGCCAGGCGACCTCAGCTGGCCCAAGCGTGAGAGGTCGCCCAGCCGCAACCGGCCCAAGCGCGAGAGGTCGCCCAGCCGCAGTCTGGCGCGGGACCCAGCGTGGGCGCGGCGCGGCGACACCCCCCCCGGCCGCACGCGGCGTAAGACCGGGAAGCACGCTGGGCAGCTTCGCGTTCCTCGCGGCGGCTGGTACGAGCAGGAGAAAAAGCGGCGGCGTGCTGCCGCTGCGGAGGCTGCCGCGGGCGGGGGTGGGATCCCAGCCTGGCGCGGCAAGGGCGCGGGCGACAAGGGCGGCAAGGGCGGCAAGATCAAGGGCAAGCACTCCGGCAAGGCCGCCGAGGGCACCGAGAGCGGCGGCAAGGGCGACAAGAGCGGCAAGGGCGGCCACTCCAAGGGTGACCAGGGCAGCCGCGGCCGGAGTGAGCGTGACAGGCCCAGCGCGGGCGGTCGCGCGTCGAGGGGCGGCGATGGCGGCAGCCCCCGGGACCACAGTGAGCGCGGCGGAGACCGCAGCGGCGACGAGAGCCGCGATCGCCAGGGGAACACGCCATCCATCTAGGCGTGGAGCACCCCACATCCCAACGCCAGCGCCCGCGGCATCGCGGGCTGCGGGCTGAAGACGGCGGCCCACTGAGGCGGACCGCTACTCGGGACAAGCCCGTGAGTGAGCCGGCTTTCCTCTCAGCCTACAGTGCGCAGGTGGCGCCTGCGATCCCTTCAGCCTACGGTGCGCAGGTGGCGCCTGCGATCCTCTTTCTTTTAGCCTACGGTACGCAGGTGGCGCCTGCGATCCTCTTTCTTTTGAGGATTTTGAACGTTGCGCGCGCGTCGCGCGCTTCCTGGACCCGGCCGCGCTGCGCGTCCTGCGCGCCGTGCGGTCGGGGCCACACTTGCGCTCTGCGCCCGGCGCATCATGCGCCGCTCTTTTCTTGTTCTTTTGCGCGCTTCGCGCACGCGCCGCGCCCGCGCTCTGGGTGCGCGGGGCGCGGAAGGCCTCAAGGTTGCAGGCAAGTGGCCGCGCGCGCGAGGCTCTTGCGGCCTCAGGATCCGCCCTCGCACTTCGGGCTGGGCGTCCCCGCGCGCGCGGCTGCGCTCTCTCTTCTCATGGCCAAGCGGCCGCGGGCGTGCCAGAGCGCGAGCGCGCGGTCCGTCGGGGCCCACGCGCTCGCGTCGGGCGTGGGCCGTCAGGGCCCACGCCCAGGTGGAGATGCGCGTCGCCACGCTGCCATGAAAATACCATCGCCCTGTCCTGGTCCCTCTCTCGTCCCCTCCTCTCCCCCTCTCCCTCCGTTGAGTGCACGCGTATCTCACTTAACT